GACCACAGTTTTGAGCCTCTTTAGACAGCATAGAAAACAAAAGGTAAGGGTTGGGGAGATGGTGCCATTGATAAGGTGATTGCTGTACAAGCATGAGTACCTGAGTTCAGATCTCTAGCATCCACAGAAAAGATGAACACAGTAGTGGCACACATTCCCAGCTACGCAGAATAGAAACAGGCAGATGTGGGTCTCACTGGCCAGCCAGTTTAGCCAATAGGTAACCCTACCTCAAAAAAAAATGTGGAGATCAAGAGAGGAAGACATTGTTGACTTCAATCTTTCACATGCAAATGTATTAGTGTGGACACCCACACATGCATCGACCATACATGCACACACACACACACACACACACACACACACACACACACAGAGAGAGAGAGAGAGAGAGAGAGAGAGAGAGAGACAGAGACAGAGACAGAGACAGAGAGAGAGAGAGAGAGAGAGAGGGAGGGAGAGGGAGAGAGAGAGACAGAGAGACAGAGAGAGAGACAGAGACAGAGAGAGGAGAGAGAGAGAGAGGGAGGGAGAGAGAGAAAAAGAGGAGAGAGATGCAAAGAAGCAAAGCCTTATCCTTGCTGCAACATAGAATGCCCAGAATATAAAAATTACCAGGCTGAGTTGGGAAACTTGGATCAGTGGGAATGGAAAGCATCAAGATTATGTACAGGAAAATGCACCACTAACCCCCAAGCATAAAGTACCTGGCAGGCTCAACATCACTGCCTTCCTGAGGGATGCTTTTTAAGAGTCAAAGTATTTTTCTGAGCCGTTTTCTGGTTAACTCATTAGCCTGAATTGGTTTTCTGACCTTAACACCTGCTGTAACCAGCAGGGGCTTGAATGGGGCAGAACTAAAGAGGTGTATATTTCAATAAGCAGGAAAAACTGAGAACAAAGATTTTGTGCAAAGTTGGCCAGGAGACTCTGGGCAAGGAAAGGGCAAGAGGGACTTAATAAAAGGTACGAAATAAATATCTCTCAGGCCATTCAAGATCTTCTAAATTTATTTCTCAATGAGTGTTACACCAAAAAGTTGATGATAGATAGATAGATGATAGAGATAGATAGATAGATAGATAGATAGATAGATAGATGATAAATCTCCATGCGTCAAGCAAAAGCATCAAAGACAAACCCTCCTCAGTCCCTCCTCTTATGGTCCTTGTCATAGCTGGTGAGGTCCAAGTAGTCACATCCCCCTATGATGCTCAGCTTGAAGCAATGATAGAAGGCATGGTACTAGGTCTGCACAGTTCCAGGAGAGACCATGTAGTTGCCCTTAGCTAGACACTTACGAATAGCAAGCACTGAGCAATGATATAGTCTAGTATCCTCAGTGGAGTCTGAAAGCCTATCTTGAAGATATGCCTATGAAACACACAGTATAAACTGTAAAGGTGCAGCTCAAAAATGGGGTTTTAATGAGGTAAAAAGAAAGTGGCTACTGCTTTAAATGATTCGGACTTATCTTCACTTCTAGTAACCTCAGACATCTTTTCCTGCCAAAAGAAAAACAGCCACCAGATTTCTATACTGAGAATTTTTTCTCCCACATAATAACACTTATATACATTATAGGTGACGTCTTTCTCTTTAAAAATGCTATTAAAATGTTTGTAACTCTCCAGGATTATGTGTAGAGCCAAAGTTATGAATATGCATAAATATGCAGATGCTCTATTGAATGTTCCTTATCTCATTTGTATTTCTGAAGATGTATAAGATAACCTTTGTGTCTTTCAAAAGCATCTTCCTACACCTCAGGGAGCAAATTACCTCTATTTTCATTTCCTTTAAAGTTAGATCATTTTATAATTAAGAATGTATTGAAGCAGATTCTCCAACGTGTGAGCTACTCCCTGGGGAGTAATTTATGCAAAGAGAGCCTCTGACTTAATATTATATAAGCCAAAAACTATTCAATGGCTACCTGGAATTATTTTAGTCATTTATAGTAACTATAAATAACCCACTGTTTGAAATGTTATTGTTAAACTTAAATCCACAGTACAAATTAAGTCAAGTGTGATTCACTGGATTATTTTTAAATATCTTTAATAAAGATGCAATAATACACCAAAATGTGCTTCTTTTCCAAAATCATTAGAAAAAAAATCAGTTAATGGGTATAGTGATGGTCATGGTGGTGATGTAGATGGTAATGATACAATGATAACATTGATCAGAAAATACCCATTTTATCCTCACAATTCCATGAAGTTTGTTGATGAATACTATATTTATAAGTGACAAAACATGAGTTCAGAGGTTTTATCTCAGCTATGGCCCTAATTAATACATTAAGGAAAGCAACCTAGCAGGTCAAATAAGAATAAAGCCAAACCTCCTACATCCCCATCCCCAAATCCTGAAATGTTCCAGTCATTTAACATCTCATTCCCAGCTCCCTTCCTTCAATTTTTCATCTTACAAAAGAGAGAGAGAGAGAAAGAGAGAGAATTCAAATTCTGTAGCTTATTTAATTTTTAAAAAACTTAATGTGTTATCCTAAGGCTAAGTGTTATGTATGTTATGGAAAGTAATAACAAAAGGTGGTAATAATTTCCACTTATTTGTTTTGTATGTCTGGAAATAGAAAACTATAGCACCGTACGCAAGTGTCAGCTTTATGTACAAAGCATTTTGAAGGATATTTTGCATAATTATTTTAAATTGGGAAAGGAAATAGCAGATCTTCCTAGTGTGAATAATTTTAAGAACTCTTTAGAGTACTATCAAACACAGGAATTGATGCATTCTAAATACATAACCTACAGGATGACAAAACAGTCCTTCTAAGACATTATACATTCAGGTACCTGTGAGACACCACAGAAAAGCGCATGTGTCCCTGTCCCACACCACATCATACTCCACAAATGTCCCTGTTTCTGTTCCAAGTCCAAACCTAATTCTCATGCATACTAGACAAGTGCTCCACCACCCAGTCACATCCTTGGCCCCAATGTCACTATTTCAGTCAGTCCTGTCACTTTGTCTCACTTCCAATTGTTCATCATCTATTTTCCTTATCTTTCAGCATTTAATATCGCTTCTGCCTCTGAACAGTTTTCACACTTGCTCCTTCACCTCCCGTTGTCCCACTATACCTCCTAGGCTGCCTTTGCCTAAATCCTGGGTCAGGAATGACCTATCACTGGTCTTCTGGTTTTCTATGATTAGCTTGCCAGACTCTAAGGTTATCCCTTCACAATGCATGTAGGGGTTGGTTTGGGAACTGAATTTACAGTTTTGCTCACACTGTGCATGCACTCTAACACGAAGCTACATGGAGCCTTCTTTTCGCCATTTATTTACCCTTCATTTTATCCATTTTATAGGATCAGGTGAAAACTCCCCTGCTGAACTCCCGCAGCTCCAAGGACTGGTGTCACAATTCTACATAGCCATGTAATTTCCCATAAAGCCAATTGCTCTGTACGATAGTCAGCCACAGTCATATTAGACCTCTGACCTGTTTTCATTCAATGCCCCTTGTCTTTCCCTTCAACCTAACTAAATTCCACACAATCTGTAAAATGAGTTGTCTTCCCAATTAGAACTGCAGTGATCTGGAGTGGTTGGAATGTTGCAGGTTCAGGGGTAATTACCCTATCTTATGCTAGCTTTAGCCCTCTGGATAGTCATTCTTTTTCCCCCACTGTGTCAGAACTCACATCCTATGACTAACAGATAAAACTCTTTTGGAATCCATTAATTTAGCAGACCACTAGCTTCCACTAACCCAAAAGCTTAGACTGTCATCAGACAGCATCTGGGACCCACAGAAAAGCTTCCCCCACCTTGCTGTGGCCACCTCTCTGATATACCCATCAGTGTGTTTCAAACTTGCCCTGATTTGTGACTTTATTGGTTCTGTAAAACTATAGAACTTTATGAAACTCTTAACACATTTCAACATGGGATTTGGGATAATCTAAACCTATGACCTGGGCCATGGTCATTCTAATATGTCAAAAATAAGATATTTCTTATACTGTTTTTTGAAAATGAAACTTCTTTATCCCCAGTGAAACTAAATGCATGTTAACTTCTAATACAACTTTTTCTGATTTCTTCATTATTAACTTTTTATTAATGAGACCATCTAGATCATTACCATATCATCTCTTGAGTCATCATGTTTCAGTATCCTTGCAGATACTAAAGCATGCTCAGTTAATGTTTGGTTGATTCATTAATGGTATTTTCACAGGGATGACCAGTTCATCCACCATCCACCTACACAACATATAAGATCACCATATACCAACACTTCTGTCTTGCTTTATTTAGTTATTTAAAATATTATTGAGATAAGACCATGTAAAAACTCCTAATGACTTTCTATTTCAAATGTAAGATCAGAAACGGAAAGACTGGAGTTCACAGGGCTTTTCTGTCATGTTATTTTAGGGAAGATAAGCTTTAAAAGGGAAAAACTGTGAAAGCAGGAGCAAACATCTGGTCTCTAAACATGAATGTGCAGGGGTGTATGTGTGTGTGTGTGTGTGTGTGTGTGTGTGTGTGTGTGTGTTAAATTCAGTTTAAAAAAGCAAAGGGTAATGAATGGATGTCTTTTCCTAACAGTAGTTCTCAATATGTGGGTCACAATCCCTTTGGGGTTGAGCAACCCTTCCACAGAGATCCCCTAAGACCATCAGAAAACCCAGATCATTTGTAACCATGGCGAAATTACAATTAGGAGTAGTAATGAAAATAATTTTATGGTTGGGGATCCCCACAACATGAGGAACTGTAGTAAAGGGTGGCAGAATCATGAAGGTTGAGGATCGCTGCTTTAGGAGAAGGTTAGAAAGGTCACTCACATAGTAAAGACGGCTCCAGACCATCACTCTCACCCAGAACCTTCCAACTGCAAGCATCTAACACAAACATCTTGACAAGAACAGGTACGCGTGAACATAGAAACAAGAAAAATAAAAAAAAGACAATTATCGACATTCAAAATGCCTTTTTTTTAACTCTTTCAGCACAAATTGAAGTGATACCATGCAAAATTTGTGGCGATAAATCCTCTGGGATCCACTACGGAGTCATCACTTGTGAAGGCTGCAAGGTAAGGACTTCTACATTGTGACTTCATGCCGAGGCTTTGAAGAAGACACACTGAGGGATGTTTGTGCCTGCTGCTGACACTGGCTGAAGAGATGACTCAGGTTAAGAACAGGAGTTGCTCTTCCAGAGGACCTGACTGAGTTCACTTCCCAGCCCCACAAAGTGGTTCACAGTCATGTGCAACTCCAGTCCAAGGGTATCTGATGCTCTCCTCTGACCTCCTTGGGCAATCACACACATGGTACACAGACATACATGCAGGCAAAACACTCATAACTTAAAGTATAAAGTTTTTTTAAACCCACTGGAAGCACTGGATGTTAACAGTGGACTCTAGATCAGTCACATGTAATCCTCACCCAAATCTTAATTATTCAATGAGTTCCTGAAGTACAGACAAGATCTTATTTTGATATATACCACTGACATAGATATGAAAAAGAAACTGGCCAAGAGCACAAAACTTTTTTCACATTCTGTCCAGTGTCCCCTCAAAGAGATTCTATCAACCCAATGACAAACACATTCCTGTGAGTAAGGTATTTGGAAAATATAGGACTAATGGAATCTCAGTTACCACAAACCTAACCTGAGATCATCAAAATCTGAAAATTAATAGTAAGGTTTTTAAGTAGTCTGAAAGAAGGAAAGAGTGAGAATAGCAATGAGCACTCAAAACAGTTGCATAATATATTTTAAAGGGGTGGGCATAACCAGAACAAGCTCACGTACCATATGCAGGGGACATGGTAGATGCTGACAACATCATTGGCAATATGCAGACAAGGTGAATCATTTATTTGATTGAGTTCAGTAAACTGAGAAAGATGCAGCATAGTCATGAGCTCTAGGATTCAATTAGCATCTTAGGAGACTTTTAAATGTAAACAGGATAAAACAGATTATAACTGCCAAGAAAGCACTACTCTTCGAAAATGGATGGTGCCTTCACAAGTCTCAGAAAATGTAGTACTTGACACTGGAAAAGTAGAAAGTAAAATCAAAAGAAATAAGTGAAGATGATATGAGGAAAGAAAATCAACATAGTGGAAGGGTCTGGAATGGAGATGATCCGTAATATCCTTAGGCAAAGCTGATGAGATGGCCGTTTATTTTATTCCTCTACAAAGCTAGAATTAAGAGTTATGTATCACCCACTATCATGTCAATTTTTAATTCCATAAATGAGAAACAATAAAGCAAATAAGAAGTTGACTACTGCTTTGAACCTCCATAAGTAAGTTATTTTCTCTGGGTAGGAGGACAAATAGTTTTTGCCATAAGCGTTGGTAAGTTTGTAATGAGACCTCTTTCTCAAAAGCATTTCTGCAAGCTTGTTCTGAAGGTTTAAGAGCCTAGTCTAGTTTACAACATATCCACTTAAGTTGTTTGTATATGAATGCTGCATGCTCAGTATTTCATCATATAAGGCATTTGGAAAATGTCAGACTTCAAGCTGCAGAGAAATCGTCATTTTAAGAAGCAATTTTAAACCATAAACTCTTAAATATTGGATAAACATAACCCAACATGTCAACAGCAGGAACAAGTGGTTAGATTTCTGTCATCTTTTCAATTCGCCGTCAAAGAAATTATGCAATAACTAGGAAGCATATTCTAGGGTTTTTTGTCAAACTGGCTACACATCACATGACTTTTATTTATTTCATGAAAGAACCCACATGCTACAAGTTTCTCCAGTAGAAATCCCATCCAAAATCGGATGTCAATATCAGCACATTCAACTATCCACCTCCCTGAATATTTTTAACAATGCTCTGGAGTCAACATACGCAACCATTTTAAACATCAGTTCAGCTCATAAACTTATTCAGTTCCTATTCATTCAGTAAAATGTGAAGCAGAATTTATTTTTCATGCCAAAAATCTCATTTGCAATAATGAGCAACAGATAAGCAAGAAATGACTCATAATTAATGTCAAATTGGCTGTAAATTAGGGCTTGTGGCTGTGACTTCAGAACATCTTTCCTGCCAACTCATACTAAGTGGCACTCCAGCATCCAAAGATAAAATCCATCAGCCTTTCCTTAGGATGTAAATTCCAAGGCACCTGTAATCAGCACCAGGACACTGCATCGGGACTTTATCACATCTTTCTTGGTATATAAAACAGGCATTCCAGCCCCTGGAGATTTAGGTGTGTTCCTGTTTCCAGAATCCAATCAAACCGAATTCATGGAGCTTTATCGTGCAATCACCAGTGTAGTTAAACAAACGCCGGGCATGATGCAGTAGTGAGCGTGCACTTTCTTGAGTGGATCTGTGTTTAAGCATGATGCAGTGGTGAGCGTGCACTTTCTTGAGTGGATCTGTGTTTAAGCATGATGCAGTGGTGAGCGTGCACTTTCTTGAGTGGATCTGTGTTTAAGCATGATGCAGTGGTGAGCGTGCACTTTCTTGAGTGGATCTGTGTTTAAGCATGATGCAGTGGTGAGCGTGCACTTTCTTGAGTGGATCTGTGTTTAAGCATGATGCAGTGGTGAGCGTGCACTTTCTTGAGTGGATCTGTGTTTAAGCATGATGCAGTGGTGAGTGTGGACCTTCTTGAGTGGATCTGTGTTTAAGCCACAAAGCCAACTGGAATCTCTCTCCAAGGGGCCCTTGGCCACACACATTCATTCTGAGGTTCCTTTTGGTCAGCAAAGACTCTTCACCGTGCCAAGCTAAGCCATACTGAAATCTAAGGCAAAACCAAAATCTATAGTATCCATCCTATCTTTCTTTAAGCTGTTAGGAATTTCCACACTGATACCTATTTTTAACACTTTATTGAAACATTCCCTTTTCCTAATAGCCTTTATTTTTAATCAGTCATAAATTTTATATCCAAGTTGGTCTTCTTGCATGCTTTATTTTATCTAGCCCTGTTCCATTCTCCTGAGGAAACACGGGTATTTGAAAGAACTTAGGAGCTCTATTTCAAGCCTCTTGGAGGTTTTTTGCTTCCAAGAAGTAAAGCTGAGGTCTATCTTTCCCTGTGATTCTTCATAACATTTCTGTTTAGACCATCACTTTGCTGGTGGCACTTTTCACTTTCACTGTTTTGCTGTAGGCATTTCGAGAGCAAACAGTGGCTGGGGAAACTGATTACCTGGGGGAATGAACAGAGAATGCTAACTTTCATGTCTCTGAGGGAGATATTTGTTTTCCTTACTATGTTTTCTTCATCAGGAAACTAAAGGAGGTTGGTATCCAAAGAATTAAAAAAAATAACAAGAAACCCGGCTACAGATGTCAAGGGGCCGGGTGCAGTCAGTTGTATTTCTTTCACACCAAAAGAATCTGAACCTATCTGAAATAAGAACTCATATCCTATAACCTAAAAGTGGGCATTTGTTTATTGCTTTATATCAAAGAAGTTACATTTAGGATTTCTTTGACTCAAGTGGGTTTATGATAAGATACACCACAGGTTTCAAAACAACTTTCTATACAACATGATGGTGCATAATCCCAGAACTGGGGAGGCAGAAGCAGGCAGATCTCTGTGAGTTTAAGTCCAACCTAGTATACAAAGTAAGTTCCACGGCAGCCAGAAACACCAGAGTTGCATGGTAAGGCTCTGCCTCAAAAAAAAAAAAAAATAACACTTTCTGGACAATTCAATTTTTTTTTCAGATTTGGAAAGACACATTTTAAAATGTAGGGGAAAATGGGGTTAGTGCTGAGCCCACATTCCTTGATGCCGTGCCTCCTACCAATACCTACAGCCTTAGTTCAAACCCAGGCCCCAAGACTTTGACATGCCTCTTTATTGTTCTTTCCCTGTTGTTCCTTTGGGGCAGAATATTTTTCTCTTTCTCTCAAAGAAATTCTTTCAGTAAAGAGTGAATGAATGAACAAACGAACGAACAATTGAAGAAATATCACATGTCCATAAATATGCCCATATATTCTGCTCAGAATTATCTATAAGCTCTCCAAGAAGCAGTCAAAAACTTTCGTAAGATTAAACTCAGCAATACTCCGGTTATAAAGTCTATCAGTGATATGCTAATGTCGCCCTTTCTCTGAGTCTCCTGCCCTTGCTTTCTCTTTCCATCTCTAGGGATTCTTCAGGAGGAGCCAGCAGAACAATGCCTCTTACTCCTGCCCAAGGCAGAGAAACTGTTTAATTGACAGAACCAACAGGAACCGTTGCCAACACTGCCGACTGCAAAAGTGTCTTGCCCTAGGAATGTCGAGAGATGGTAAGCCTCTGCCTTCCTATGTCTTAGTTTTCAAATGGATGTTTGGCTAGAGGCTATTCAAGTCACTGAAAGTCTTTTAACTGTGGGAATTGGGGATATGAAGAAAAGAGAACCAGTGTTCTGGTCGTGAATTAAGAAATAAAGCAGGAACATATCAAATGTAGAACTGCCTGAGAAATAAAAAGAAAAGGGAAGGTGATAAAGGTTTGGAGAGCAGCCTGTGCTGTCTAGGTTAAGTGAAGTCCAGAGTAAGGCTAGATAGTATATGACTGCCTGGCCACATTTTCTGGGAAAAAGGGCTTTCCTGGAATGAGAGACTTTCAGGGCAAAAGTCAGAAAGCCCTAGGTTAAGAGAAGCCATGCTTTCACCAGAACTATCTGACTTACACAAGACACTTAGTGTATGGACACACCAGGAGCCGAACAAGCCTCCCTGGCTGTTCATAAATACCCAGTGAGAGACCTGGACTATTCTGAGTCATTATGAAGAGTGCAAGTATATTCAGGGGCTCTGTGTTTCCACTCATTAGATAATAGAGTGCGTGTTTCTCCTCCACACACAACCAATTGCTTAGATTCATGATACAAGATGAAAAGTTTAAGCATGGTAAACAAAGAATTTTGCCACTTTTTTTCACTCTTAATCTTTCATACACATTCTTATACTATGAATATTGGCCCCAGCTTTCTTGTAGCTGTATTGTATGTTATAAATGGCCTTGTATCATGAACAAATACCACTAATGTCAGGGTTGATGGGGACCTATCTATCCCAGTAAGTGATGGTAACATACGGTACTGAGTTACCTTGAAGTTCTGCAGCTATGACTTTTCATTTTGTCTGATCAAGACTTGAGAATGAGCAGTGCAATATCTCCTACCACTCTTTAACCATCCTTCCCAACTACTGACTCAGCAAATCCTGGCAAAGTGCTTTAGCAATAGTACAGGAACCAGGGTAAGACGTCCTCACATCTACCTCAAGGATACAGTAGTATATTCACTGTGCTACATACACTTGCTGTCTACCACTTATGTCTTCTGGTCACTGGAACGTCGTGGCTGCTGGTAAACAAATGCCTTACTATTCAAATCATTGGCTTCCTATCCTTTCCTGAGTATATGAACAGACATCAAACTCAGGGATTACAAATTTATTCAAATCTACCTAGGCAAAGAAATAAGGAAAAATGAATGCATTTTAAATAATATATACATATGTCTGTGCTGTAAAGTGGCAAAAGTGTGTATGAATAGATACCACATATCTTGAATCTTCTCCTTCCTGATGTATATTCTGCTTGTTATTTTGATTGGTTGCTTAAAAATTGAAATAGAGTCCATGTCTATTGTCCAGGCTGGCTTCAGACTCACTGTGTAAACAAGGATGGTCTTCATGCTTCACCCTCCCAAGTGCTGGGATTACAGACATAGGCCCCATGTCTGGCTTCTGTTTTTCTGTTAACGGGGCTCTACAAATCAACCCTCAGTAGAACTATTTGTAGAGAAATGAGTAGATTGAATCAGACTTCTAATATAAAGTTTAGATCCCTAAAGGTGTTAGTTTATCTCCAATACTGAAAGGGTTAAACTGGGACCAGTTTGACTAGTACAAAGCAGGTAGAAACCTAGAGACTTGGAGACTTAGAAACAATAAGATAATAATTTCTAAATGACTCCAGAGTCACGGGTGATGTTTATGCATTTGGGGTCTCAAAGTCGCCTGTTCAGGGCTTTTTTGACTCCCCCATGGGAGACCTTACCCTTTCTGAGAAGTAGATGGGGTGAGGGGAAGGTAGGGAGGGGAGCAGGAGGAGGGCAAGGAGGGAGATCTGTGATTGATTTGTAAATGAATTTAATTTTTTTTAAAAAGCCTATCCAGAGCCGGGCGATGGTGGCGCACGCCTTTAATCCCAGCACTCGGGAGGCAGAGGCAGGCGGATCTCTGTGAGTTCGAGGCCAGGCTGGACCGATAGCCTCCAAAACAATACAGAGAAACCCTGTCTCGTAAAACCAAAAAAAAAAAAAAAAAGCCTATCCAGTTCTAGAGCAGCAGGAACAATGACTTTTAATTCCAATCACCCTGAAAACGTCTGTTCTACTAAACAAAAGTGATGTGATTTCTGACCCCCCCCTACTCAGAAGTGTCCTTTGCTAGTGTGGGATTGAAATGAGGGTTAAACATGTATTAGATATTGATGCGGTCATCCTGGGTATTTGTAAGTCACTTGCAATGTATACAGAATCATGCTGGTTTTCTTAAGACATGGCAGTTTAACAACAAACTGTCTCTATACACAAGCGAATGTCATTAGCAGAATAAATCAGGTTTGAGAGAGGCAAGCGGCTAAACTATGTGCTGAGCTCACTCATGAGAAGTGATGAGAAGCATGCAAATACTTGAAAATATAACAGTAGATGGCCTTTGTTAACATGAGCTTTGAATACATCAAGGTGCCTACAGATAATAGCCAGGAATATTTCTATGTCAGAGAAGTTCAATAGGTGTATTTCCATGGTGTACTGTACATTTTCCCCCGGAGTATAGCGCCAGCTTTATTGCAGGAGAGGACATAAAACTGAAACACTCTTCTGAAATAAATAGAAAACTTGTCCTGGAGTAGCTCTGTAGTCATTGTCTATAAAGTCTTTGATTTAAAACAAAGCCTGAGAATTCCAAACTGTAGTCTCTTTAAGCTGCCTCTTTCTAGATATTCCGATTGCTCTGTCACCTGACAAGTGAGCCTTGTACAAAAGATGTACATTTTTTCTGTCGAGTCTTCAGATGATTACAGCAGAGCCCTTGGCAACATACTTTTCCAACATCATTAACTCTAATTACAAGGACTATGGTTAAGAGCACATGGAAGCTTGCTTTGGCTGCAGGTCGGTCTATGACCCTGCTGATGGTGGATGGCCTTACTTGGGTGATAGAAGAGGCTTGAATCAGCTTTGCATATCCTATTGTTCAGCAATCTAGTTCAGGCATGTCCTTGCCATGGTGAGGTGCCCAGTCAAGCAAGCCCTTTTCAAGCCTCTGCTTGTCACACATTTGTCAATAACCCATTGACCTAGGCAGATCATGTGACTAGGAGTCCAGGGTTGAGCCTCACGCCTGCACAGAATGAAAGAGAATTGGGAATAGACATGTGAAACATGAAAGGATGCAGGTAAAAAGGAATTGGGGTCATTATCACTCTGCCTCAAAATATAGACGTCTGACTTGAGGGTTAAATGACAAGTATTCTTTTAAGGCAGTTCTGAATCCATGAAGAAAGCTAGCTCACTCTTGATTTTTTCATTCCTATTATTTAAACCTATAAATACACAATATTCTATAAAATTACTACAAAATCTTAATCTTATGCAATAGAGTCATTGCTTGTACTGAGAAGACAACAGCTGTCATTAGAGGCTCGTCTGCATGGACCCCAATACAAAGGAGCAAAGTTCAGCCATAGAGAAGATGAGCACCACTTTCTTGGGATGCAGTCCTCCTGAGTCAGTGTTCAATATTATTTAATTTTCATTATAAAAAATGGTAGTTTCCTTTAGAGAACAAAATACAAAGTATATGCAATGACACAATATAAAAGTAAAAGCAAAAGTTTCCCTAACCATTCAGTAGAATTCTGCCCACAGTCAAGCAGAATACCACTACATTCCAAAAACAAATTCTGAGAAGCAGAGTCTAATAACAGCAGTGTCTATGCAGCAAGTTAAACACAACACAATGATCTAAACCAATTCAAGACCCAGGAAAAGCACCAACGGAGAGGGAAAAGGAGAATTTGCTAGTGGTTAATTAGATTGTTTCTCTTCATTGAGAAAAACTACAGGATAATTACTGCTTCGTCTTCCTACTTGAGCAGCACTGAGAAGCCAGAGCACGGGAATTTTCTTTTAGAAAGATTAAGGAGTAAGAAGAAAGAGGGAGAGACTGGGATTGTTAAAATGCAGCCAGTCAGAGCTTTGATCTGGCAAGCAAGAGGGGAGAGAACATGCCACTATACCTAGGAGTATCTAAACACTCCTGTTAGCCTGCACACCCTGTTATCCAGGACTTAGTGACACAGTCACACTGCTCAGTAATCAGGGCTGGAAAGTGTGGTCTCTATTTTGAACAAGCCATACTCAAATAAGATTTGATAGCACCACTCCTAATGCAAAGGGAAGATGGATTTGGATGAATGGCAGCATCTTCACGATGCAGGCCTCCTCTGTGGACCTTCTGAGCTAGACAGGCTGCAAGCACTTCCAGTGTGTGTCTCCTTCCCACACCCTCTGAGATCCTGACATCAAGAAACCATGAAAAACTGGTGGTATCACTACCAAAGAAACCAGAAACTCAGATGAGCGTCTCTAAGACTACCAGAGTCCCCACCATTAACATGAGGTGCAGAATGCAAGATGACTTGAACCAGGCAGCCCAGCACCCAACATGCCCACATGCAAAAAGAGAGCTCGACAGCTTGTGAGAAAGAAGTCGCTATCCATAGCAGTTCAGGAGGTTGTGTGTCACAGGTCAGGGAGCTGTGCATGGGGATGAAAGCTTCCATATATTATTCCCAGACACTCGGAGATCCTCTCCCTCAATTTTCCCCAAAATATCTGAAGATGTGGCTGCCAGCAAAGGGCAAAATAAAGCTTCAGTCTAGAATGATGATGAAAGTTGCTCCTGCTGAGAGTATACAAATGCCACCATCCAAAGGCTATCATTTGCTCCAAAATCCAAAATGGCGGCAACTCATGAGGTTTTTCTCACCCCCTGAATCCTTGGTCTTACCAATTAAAAAAAATATGTCCCAAATGGAAGTAATGGGTTTCTTCCAAAGGATCTGGTAATCCTAATGATAGGGAAGAAAGTTGGTATTGATTATGGAGGCCATTTTAATAGCAGAAAACCCTTGCATGTCTCATTAGGTTTGTCGTTTGGGTTTTAAATATGCTGTTCCCAAATGGAGAGAGAGAGAGAGAGAGAGTTGAATACATCTTCCAATTCCATAGCAGTGACACAAAATACACATTTTTCATTTCTTCCTAGCTTATTATTACTGTTTAGGTATTGAATGCCCCCCCAAAGGTTCATACATTAACATATATTAAGGATGTGGACCCCAGGTTGACACTATTGAGAGGTTGTAGAATCTTGAGAGGGCGGGGCCTAGGAGAGAGGCCTAGGTTACTAGGGAGCATCCATTTTTTTCTCTCTTTTGCTTGTTTGGGTTGAATTGCTCTACCACACATCCTCCAACATAGTGTCCTGCTGTGCCAGTGGCACAAAAATCGTTAATATTGTCAGCCAAAAATAAACCTTTCTCCTAAATTGATCATCTCAGTTACAAGCGCAGAAAGCTGGATAACACACAGGTTTCGTCACTCTGTGGCAAATCAACATGCCTTTCAAATATAATCTTTCCCTAAATGTGAAATCTAAATGAATGAAGCCCTGATTTGGGATTTATCTATATGATACTGAAGGGACAACCATCCATGTCCCTTAGAATGAAATGGCTAAAGAGAATGGTAACCACACCATTGTCTTTTGCTCTTCTCTCCATTCCAGCTGTAAAGTTCGGGAGGATGTCCAAGAAGCAGCGGGACAGCCTGTACGCTGAGGTGCAGAAGCACCAGCAGCGTCTACAGGAGCAGAGGCAGCAGCAGAGTGGGGAGGCAGAGGCCCTGGCCAGGGTTTACAGCAGCAGTATCAGCAACGGCCTCAGCAACCTGAACACTGAGAGCAGCGGCACCTACGCCAATGGGCATGTCATTGACTTGCCGAAATCCGAAGGATATTACAACATTGATTCTGGTCAGCCATCTCCAGATCAGTCAGGACTGGACATGACTGGAATCAAACAGATAAAGCAAGAACCTATCTATGACCTCACATCCGTACCCAACTTGTTTACCTATAGCTCTTTCAACAACGGGCAGTTAGCTCCGGGGATAACTATGACTGAGATCGGTGAGTATGAATCATCTCTGTTTTTTTTTCTGGAAGGCTCTCCCTTGAAGGTGCCTTAGTCCTGCTTAGTAAAGTCACCCTTACAGCTCTAAGTTAAATTGCATGCATACCTGGTTTCTACTGAGCAAATGAAATTGGCTTATAATACTCTAACAATTGTCACTATCCCCTTGCCTCATAAAATTTATTTTGAGTGAAGAAAGAAGGAACAAATGGAAAAATGTTATCTATAAGGGAAAAATGGATGCTTTCGGTGAATTTGCATTCTTATAGAAGAAAAAATGTGGGTAGGAGCAAGAAAATTGCCTAGATTTCCAAAGTAATGTTATTCAAAGGGAAGTGGCCACAGTATGGAGTAATACAATGAATAGTTCTCAAAGATCGCTATAGGTACACCTTAAGCACAAAGTACCCCAGATTCCCTCTTTGTGAAGGTGAAGCAGGCAGGCCAAAGGACAGCTATGGATTTTGCAAAGCTAAATTCAAGAATTTGACATGAAGATTCTAGGGAGAGCGCTCACCCACAAGAACTTCAATTTAATTCCCAGAATCCATGTTTTTAAAAACATGTTACCCCACTTAATAATCTCAGCACTGAGGAGGTGGCCAAGACAGACTCCTGGGCTCATTGGCCAACCAGCCTAGATTACTTGAGCTCTGAGGCAGAGAGTCTGTCTCAAAGTGGGCAGCTCCTGAGGAGCAACAGCCAAGTTTGTCCCACATAACATGGATGTACAAATGTCCTACAGACATGGATGTACACACATGTGAATGTACACACATGAATTTTACATGGGATTCTGCACCACAGCAATAAGACTTACGATCTTGAAGGCTGTGAAATACAGAGTAACTAGTTAATAATGGGCATCTTTTAGCTATGATGACTTTTGACCTCTTAGAACAAGATCTCAGGGGTGCCCCATCTCAGGCAAGCCCTCTACTGACCTACAGTAATTTGATTTCACCCTTTTAAACTCGACAGTCTAAAGAATGTTTAGTGGGTTAATCTCATCAGTGGCAAACTCTCTTAATACATTTCCCTCCCAGGCAGCAGAGCTACATATCCACCTCACTGTGGAAAAGCTAGAGCAAAAGCAGAAATAACTGCCTCCAAGGTAGGGGATAGGCAACCTGAGTTCTAATCCTGGCTCTGCAGATTATAATGTAAAGCAGAGCGAGTTCCTTGATCACAGATCTCTAATCTTTGAAGAGGACAAAGCATAGTTTTAGGTCACAGGATATCATAAGAAGGACAACCTCAGACAAGTGCCCATCTAGTTCTCACTACACTTACTTTTATAAGCCCTGGCTTAGTTGCCCTCAGATCAGTGCCTGGATGCCACAGCTGTTTTCATTTGAATTTGCTGTGAACACAGAATGACATCTATGGTTGTGTCCTGGGCTGCTTATGACCTGTGTCTAAGGAAGAAGCAATGCCATCCAAGGATAACACTGAGATGTCACTTCTCCTTTTCAGTGGCTCATCATGTGGCAGAAAATGAAGTTATTGATGTCCCAGCCAGGAGGCACCAATATCTGGACTCTGACTAGTCCACTATACTGCTATCTTTACCCATGTCCTCATTGTAACAGAAATATTTTGTAAACATTTTGATTTCATTAAAGTCTAAAGAGTAAAGCAAAAATCCTATTTTACTGCAGAAACAGGGGGCTGCAGAGGCCTAGGGCAGCTCACTGCTTCAGAAGGGGCCCATGATAACTCCATGATAGAGCCCAAGGGTCTACTTCAGGATACCTGATTCCAGGGTCTTGTGCTCACCTAGTTACCTGCTGCTTGCTGTATTCACAACTCATAGGGATAGCCTTTGTATGCAGAGGCCCCCAATCTTTCCAAAAAGGTGTGTCAAAACAAAGTAAGGTACCATTTAATATACAAGTTCTTGAATGTAGCATTGGTTTAGAACATACATTTAAATCCCAGTGAAATGAAAACTAGAAGTTAATTAGCAATCTCGGTCTCATATGCAAAAGGAAATGTTCACAGTTTATTTATGGCTTTTCATCAATAGAAATTATGATAATAAGGCTGCAGACAAAAATCATTGGCCCTGGGCTCCTGTGGACAAGCACTTTTCCTTTCTGGCCCTCAGTCTGTTTTATTTATTTATTTATTTATTTATTTTTTGAGCTGATAGAAAAGAACAGGGCTTCCTGCAGAGGCACTGACACCCAAAAAGAACTTTTCTTAATTATTTCAAGACACAGATCTCTACATGTGCTCTAAATTTTCATCAGACATTAAGGGTGAAATTAGAAGTGTCCTGTGAGTACTCTCAAATGTAACAGACTCTTAACCATGGACTCTGTTCAGATTTTGCTAAAACAGCAATGCCACCTAGTGGACACAATCCCATTCCAAGCGTCTGAATGTCAGTGTATGTAGTTACAAGGCTGTGCACAGCAGGGTGATGAATGCCTTGTCTTAATGAGCTATCTAAAGCTTGCCATCCATGTCACTATACCACTAAGTTCATAACAGCATCATTATGCAAGAAGGCAGCAGAGAATGGTTCTGTACTCTCCGTTTTGCAATCAAGCTACAATCTTTTCCTTGATGTCTATGTGTCTTAGCTCTAAACCACGATCAGTAACTGTCATTGTGCTTATGTCACGGGGAGAAACGAGTTGATACTTATAACTTCTGAAGCAATTAATTGACATTTCTAAGAATTATCATGGTAAGATCAATATTGTGATTATTAAATAAGATCCCTAGCTGCTATAGGCAGCAAAATCACCTTTTATCAAGTATCCACTGTATTAAATGATATTCTATCTTTAATTTTTATAAAAAAAAGTCTTGGTTTGACTGGAGAATAACTGTATATACATTTTATGGAAGAAAATGTTGAGGCTAGAGGTCACATTCTTAGTAAAACCAGAGAACAAATTTGAGTCCAGATCTAAGTAATAAAAAGCCATTCTTTTAGTGCATTATAGTGTATTTTCTCCTGTCAAATGATAACCACTCAGAATCTCAAGGCATTGCTACAGAAAAGCATGCTTGGCACTTGATGCCTGCTGACACCATTCTGTGCGACACTACACGAAGTTCATGGGGTTTTCTGCTGACCTTTTGACTTGATTTGATCATTAGGCATCCGAACCACTTGGTTGGAGGCATGTTGTCATTGAAAAAGTCCTGTACAGACAAAAGAGAAAAATCTGAGCTTAGCCGCATTTTAAATGGTGAATTCAAGGCTCTGGAAACTAAGAAATTTGTGAGCATCGCTCATGGTTACCAGTTCTGACTGCTTCCTCTGGTTTCTGAGAGGGCAAAGGACATGAAGTCCTGCCATTGTGCTGAGATCGGTCCTTATAAGGAGATCTTTCATTTAAATCAAGTTTTAGATGAGCATGTGTTCAACAAGATCTTGCAGCTTTGAAATCTTTAATAAAATGCATTTATGAACTACAACATAACATTTTGAACAACTGCATGTAGGTCATCAAGTCAATTATGTATGTTATCCAAGTCAGGAATAAGCCCAAACCAAGTCCACCCTTCCCCAGAGGTGCCAGAGAAGCTCACACTTCCTGGGATAAGGGATGCTGATGATAATAGCTTCTGTTTAGATGGAAATGTGAAAATCTTTTCACATGTGTCAGTAAGCATGAGGCTCACCCCCTGCTTCAAATCAACTGTGAACAAACCTCTAGATGAGGTTAAAGGACAGAAAAAGGAGCTTGTTTTCCAAGGCACAGAGTTAGCTAACCAGTAAATCTAACCAGTAATTCTAACGTAAGCAATTCATTTTGCTATCATACACTTCCAGGCATGCTTTGAAGAATTTCTGTTTGCAAAATTCCAGTCATTGGAAATAAGCAAAACATGGTTTCTGCCCTTGCCATCCAAGTGACAGATGTCAAAAGAAATAATTACCATTCAGAATAGAATAGACTGGCCATCAGCAGCAAGGCAGCCTTGCATAAGATCCTTAATTCAATCCCAGCATGCTAAACTAAGTAAATTAATTTTTTAAACTGTCGTGGAACCTAAGTCCTAAGTGATCCTGCCCATGACAGTCTGGGAGATGGTGAACATCAGTTACTCAGACCTCTTCTTATCAGGAGACTCTTTATTCTCAGAATTGTGAGGCTGAAAAGCAAAATACAGTTGAGAGAACAGAAACAACGAAGGATATTTCAGAAATATATACCTGGGCTGTTCAAACTCCCAAGAGAAAAAGAAATCATGAAATAAGAAGTAGCTGGAAGTGAACCGCAAATTAATATTTAGGCCTCAGTATTGACAGGGCTTGGCTGGGAATTTACTTCAAGCTGGCATGATGGATGTGTTATTTCCCTGGGAATAAAATCCTGTTTGATTGGTGATAGAGAAGGGAGACTAGACAAAGGATTCTCAGCAAGTGAGCCGAAAAAATAAAAATGGAACCATAGACTTCTGCTCACCACCATAGCTCTCCAATGTTCAGGGGATGCTGCAGGGATTATCCTCTTAATAAAGCTCATTTAAGCTGAAAGATGATTGACACAGTATCTAGAAGGTTCCAGACAGGACAATTCAAGGAGCCAACGGATATTTTTAAAAGGTGAAAGAAAGAAGAATGAGTATATACATATATATACATATACATATGGACATATACATGTATATATGTCTTTAAATTGACTGCAATACTAAGAGGCCTGGTGTGTCTTCCATGCCTATCGCCTAAGTCTGGTATTTTGCTGGGCATTTCACTCCAGATATAGACAAGGGAATGTGGGTTCATTGGTCTCATTGTTCCCACATAGTGTTAACATGGATTTATTCTCGTCTTCCTTTTGTGTTCTATTCATGGAATATGGAGTTTTAAATAACAAACGTAGAAATAAACCTCATTTTGGATGTGTCTATTATATAACCGAGCATGAATAGAGGAGACTACATGAGGAGATGGGCCTAAAGTGATCTAGTCTCTGTAATGTACGGCTTCATACTGTTAAAGCTACAGAGACAGCCAAAGGATATT